CACAACAGCACGAGAGGTGATAGGTACAGCTCAGAGGCGCCCCCGGACCGGGTGGTTTGACGAAGAGTGCCAGCGAGTGACAGAGGAGAAGAAGCCGGATGTTGGTGTCTGGTACCCGTCAGAACAGAGAGCGGTACAGGGTAGCAAGGTCAGCGGAGAAACGAATCCATCGCAGGAAAAAAAAAGGCAGTACGAGAAACGCGTTATTGCTGAGGCGCAAGAAAGTATGGAGCAGAATGATATGCGAAGATCTTACGCAACTGTCAATGGCGTGAGGAGTAAGACAGCGCCGTCTCCCGCCATGTGCTATGGCCGTGAAGGTAATCTGCTGACAGATAAAACGATGGTGGCTGCCAGGTGGAAGGAGTACTTCGAGATGTTGCTGAACGGAGAGAACGAGAGAGCATCTACAAACAGAACACACATCGACGACGATGGTCAAGCTGTGGAACCACCAACGCTAGAAGAGGTGAAAAAGGCGATACGAGAGCTGAAAAACAGTAAGGCTGCGGGGAAGGACGAGCTCCCGGCCCAACTTCTCAAACACGGAAGTGAGCAGCTGCACCAGATGATCCACCGTATACTGCTCAAGATATGGGAGGAGGAAGAATTGTCCGCTAGTTGGTTGGATGGTCTCGTTTGTCCCCTCTACAAAAAGGGACACAGACTGGAGTGCGCCAATTACAGAGAAATCACGCTTCTGAATTCGGCGTACAAAATATTATCACGTGTTCTGTTCAACAGATTGAGACCGCTTGAGGAATCCTTCGTCGGCGAATACCAGGCTGGTTTTCGTGAGGGTCGATCAACGACGGATCACCCTGCGTCAAACCCTTGAGAAGTTCCGGGAATACAACTTGCAGACTCATCATCTGTTCATAGATTTCAAGGCAGCGTACGATTCAGTAAAGAGAAACGAGCTATGGCAGATGATGCAAGAAAACGGTTTTCCGACGAAACTAATTAGGCTGATTCGTGCAACGCTGGATGGTTCGAAATCATATGTACGGGTTGCAGACGAGATTTCGGCCTCGTTCGTGACCTTAGATGGGTTGAAGCAGGGAGATGCTTGCTATTCAACATCGCCCTCGAAGGAGCGATTAGGAGAGCTGGCGTGCACAGGAACGGTACCATCATCACAAAGTCGCACATGCTTCTTGGTTTTGCGGACGACATCGACATCATCTGAATCGACCGTAGAGCAGTGGAAGAGACGTTCGCACCTTTTAAGAGGGAGACAGCGAGGATTGGTCTCACGATAAATTCTACCAAAACGAAGTACATGGTCGCCGGTAGAAAGCGTGGGAGCAATAGTGCTGTTGGTAGTGAAGTGATGCTAGATGGCGAAAAATTTGAAGTTGTGGACGAATTTGTTTATCTTGGTACTTTAGTGACGTGCGATAATGATGTTACCCGCGAGGTGAAAAGGCGTATTGCAGCCGCGAACAGAGCTTTCTACGGGTTGCGTAGCCAGCTGAAGTCCCGCAGCTTGCGTACGAAAACGAAATTCGCACTGTACAAGACGTTAATTCTGCCGGTAGCCCTTTATGGCCAGTAAAGTATATAACGGCATGGATATTGTGAAGCTTATAAAACACGGCAGGCTACAGTGGGCTGGGCATGTGGCACGAATGCCGGAAGAGCGTCAAGCGAAGTCAATATTCAGCAGGGAACCCGGAAGAGGACGTCAGCTTCGGGGTAGGCCACGCACGCGTTGGCTTTGTGCAGTTGAGGAGGACATTAGGTCCTTGAACGTCCAAGGCGACTGGAAGCGATTGGCTCAGGACCGAGACCAATGGAGACGGTTACTTCGTTCGGCGCAGATTTGAATTCGACGAGTCGTCGCCCATCAGGTACTCAGGTAGGAGAGTCCATGGTCTCACTAGCTCACCCGGTGCTTCAGGAGAAGTGGATAATTCTCGACAAGAACCAAAACCCGTCCAAATCCCGTGAAAATCCATGAAGTTTGAGATGTCACACGACGGGTTTTGGATCTTGTCCAAAATTGTCCACTTCCTCGGGGGCATCGGAACATGCTTGGGAGGGCTAGTGTGACCATGGACTGTCAAGTTTTGTGAAATCATGAAGTTTGATATTTCGGACGACGGGTTTTGGTTCTTGTTGAGAATTGGTCACTTCCCCGGAGGCACCGGAACATTTCTGGGGGCGGCAGAACATGCTCGGGAGGATTTGTGTGACCGTGGACTGTCAATAAGACCATTAACGGCCGAATTGTGTTAAATAATGAAGATTGGTGTGTCACACGACGAGATTTACCAGAAACAGTGCCTGCAGAAGCGATTGCTACCCTTCATAAAAAGCGTGGTGGAGTGGTACGAAGCAAATCATGGTAATAAATTAAAATACAGGAGGAAATGTACTCAACTCGTTTCTACTAAAGGGTTCGTTTGCGGATCACAATTTTTAATGAGTAGTAATTCAAATAGGGATTTATTTGCTAGATTGACCGAGTTTAGGGGATAGGTCTAGTTTATATCCCGCAACCCTAAGTGAAGTTTAAAATGCTTCCATAGTAATTCCCATACAAATTTCGATCCATTTGTGCGACCTCGTCAGCAATCTTTACAATTTGTTGTTCAGACTCATATTTTAATTGACCTATAAAAAACCTAATTTTTTTTTTTTCAAAATCAAACACCCTAAAGTGCTCAAAATCCTGATCATTTAGGAAGTGATAGCCTGCTGTGTGGAAAATTGACGTGTGCTATCATGGACGACTTTTGACTACAAAACGCTTCCGGGAGACCAATACAACACAGCCCGTGATGGTCAGTAAGTTGACGATGCCGATAAGTCAGTTTTTACCGAAATTTTTTGGTAAGAAGGCCTTCGTTTTAAAAGCGATATGTGAGTGTTGCAAGTTGTCATAGACATGTGAATACTGAATTTTACGTTCGGGAGTGTTTGAATCGGCATCTGCGGCCCGTCATCCGTCAACATGGTGTCACAGTACTATTTTGGTCCGATTTGGCTTCAATGCACTACTCGAAAGACACGGTAGCTTGGTACAAAGCAAACAATGTGCAATACGTGCCAAAAGAGATGAATCCTCCGAATTGTCCGGAAGCTCGACCAATCGAAACTTTTTGGGCCCTTTCCAAGGGATATCTACGGGAACACTTTGAGGTAGCGAATTCAATCGAAGAATTTGAAAAAGACTGGACAAAAGTGGCCAACATTTTCGCCAAGAAATCTGTGCTGAAACTCATGGGCAGCGTCTGATCAAAAGTTCGCTCCTTGGCATACGATTAAAGGAGCTGCGGATTATTTTCATTCAATTGAAAAAGAATACTAGAGAGAACATATATATGAAATAAAAAATTTAGTTCAGTTTAGGGAATTGTTTTGAATTTAATTTATCTTTTAAGAACTTCAGGGAAAAGATAATAAAGGAAATTCTCAAAATTTCAGAAAGTTTTAGTTTGTGTAAGCTACAAACAAATCGTATAGGTTCGGAAAACTTCGTATAAGTGGATGCAACATTCCAGCAATTCGCTGAACTTTCCATAAATCTAGGGATCTTCATAGCGGCTCAGAGATAAGTTAAATGGATTGGAAAGAGGTTCTAAGTGCTTTATTTGAGTTCACGGTATTGAAGTAAAGAATCTTTGTAATAGTTTATGTTTTATAGAACTTAGTTGATATCCATGTATTTTCAATATGATTTCCATAAAGTTCTCTCGATGTTTTAAAAAGTCTCTACAAAATAAACAGGTTTATTCAGTATTATTCAGACGATCAGAAACAGTTCTTCGCAGAATTTAAAATGTTTTCAAAATTAAGACATCTTCAAAATGCATGAAAAGACCTTTATATGAGACGATTGAAGATAAAGGCCAATTATCGGCAGTGGATGTGCAATTAATTAAGAAATTCAAAGTCGCAGCAGAGTTTATTGTAGATAATGTGGGAAAATATTCCTTTGGAACTCTTGGAGATGCAGTAGGCTGGGGTTGAAAATATATGTTTTAGTTTTTCCTGCATGTTTTTCAATAAAAGTGGGGACTATGGCAGGTTTTCACCCTACTGCCTTAAAGATACCACAATTCTAACCCCTGGACTTAAGCGCCGTTAAATTCTACCATGAGCATGGTCGTTATTGTAAGTCTTCGAAATGATGAAATTTGTGTGTGGAGATTTCGGAACATGGTGGTTTCCAAGATAGCTACTGAGAAGGGATGTGTTTTAATCGCTCTCCCTTCTTTGTAGCTCTAGTTTACATGAAGAAGATTTTAGCTTAACTGTTACAAATATACCTTAACAACTAGTTATTTAAATAACTTATTTCTTCTTCTTCTTCACATTTCAAACTTGTTGTTTATTGCGTGCTCTCAACTTAGTGTGCCAGATGCACTTCCACAGTTATTAATTGAGAGCTTTCGATGCCTGTACCATTTTTGCATTAGTAAAATACTGTGGCAAGTACAATCAAACTGTATGCCTAGGGATATCGATAAATTTTCTATCCCGAAAAATTCCTAGATTGGACCGGGAATCGAATCCAGCCACCTCCAGCTTGGTCTTGCTTTGTATCTCCGTCTGTACCGACTGAGCGTATCACTCCAATGCACAAATCTAAAATCCAAATGTCATCTGCTGAATCCTGCCTCAGGTTTCTAAATATCTAAATAAGCACATTCAACCGATATCTTACAATAGACTTTACTGCACCAGCATCATAATCGCTTCAGCTGGCAAACCTCCCGCAATCCATCACGAAGCGAATCTCATGAAATCCTAATTCGCAAAAAACTTGCACATTCACTGATTTCAAGACCGGCGCTCCCTCCCGACCGAAGCCCTCGGCAAGACATCACTTGAGCTCTCGAATCCACCCACCCTTCAGCTAGATTTCCCAGACACACGACGATTCGGCGGCCGGCACGCGAGATGGGAAAATTTAAAATCCCATTTTCCAGATGGCTGCTGCTTTGATCAGCTGAAAAATCATAAAACAAGACCGGAGCAACAAATCTTACATTCAAGAGGCAATGGTGATGCTGATGGTAGTTGCAGACTCGTTCGTTCTTTCCGTTTGAATGTTTCACACACCCGAAAAATCACAGCTTTTGTGTTTTTTTTTCAACTGATATTTACTCCTCCTTTTGCCTTCGGTTAGATAACGGGGAATCCACTTAACAAGTTGCGCGGAAGCAATCCAGCTGCGCGTTCAATTGCGTAGCTAATTATTAGCAAATGCACTCACTTTCCTCCACACCTTGAGTTCTTCGTGCACTTTGGTTATTTTCCTTCGCCAAGACCCGATTGGAAACTTTCCATCACTTGCACTGCACTTCAAGATTCACGTAACTGGATAACCAATCCTTCCCCCCAGGTTGCACGTTCTCGCTATTTTGCGAACCGCTTTTTCTCCCCCGGGAAAGAGCTCTGCACACACGGGCAGCAGACGACACACCTTGATCTTGATTGCCGCTTTCCCCCTCGTTGACTGTAGAGTAGTGTGTGATCTAAGCGATTGACCGTTAGTTTCCACGGCACGCCAACAGGAAGAAAAACAGGAAGCGAGCAACTGGCAGCAACTTCCCGTTCAGGATAAAAATTTCCGGTTTATTGTTGATGGTGTTGTTGTGCTAGTTATCCAAGCGGTTCGAACGAAAACAAAATTTGCGGAGATGAAATAGGAAGCCAGCAAGTCGTGTCAAGTAGCATAGATAGAAGCGCCGTTTTAAGTAAAGAAGAGAGTGCGGTGCCCGGTGCTGTTGGTTCAGCTTTTGCTTAAAAACTTTTTTTTTTTATTAATTTTTGGTTGCTAACAACACAGCGTTAAGTGAGTTTCAGGAAAATCAACGTTTTCAGCTCGGCCGACGAAAATCGACTGAATTCGGATGCGAGCCGGACTGGAATCGGTCGCTATGGGGAACTCACGCCCTTTTTTTCCCGATGCTCGTGGCACTGTGGGATTCATCTCAGCGGCAGCAAAAGCAGCTGGTCTCGAAAAGAGCGCGAGAGAGATAGTAGAGAGCGAGAGAGCGTGAGGACTGGAAAACCATGTGACTGTGGGAGGAAAGCTTCAGGCGCGTCACTGGAAAAACCTCGGCTTGGAAAAATAAACGTGCTCGCCGAGTGCCGAGTCGGATGGGTGGTGGTTTGTTTACATATATCTGTTTGGTGCGCTCGGCGGTGGATGCTGGACCGGGTCGCTCGTAGATGCGAATGGGGACAGTCGCAAAGTTAATTCTAGTCGAATATGTGGGGGTTGGTTATCCAAAATGCTTTCAATTGATTTAAATAGGCGTTTTTCAAATCAAGGGGGTTAAGGTTAAAGCCCGATAATAAGATTAAACTTGTATTTGTATGGTGTCTTCCTCCATTTTTTGGAAATAAAATTGATTTTCAAGAATTCTACCACAAATTGCAATAATACTGCATTGATTGTCACATCGTTTACGCGACTACTCTGTCAGTGAGGGCTTAGGATAAGATTACAGGGTGTTTGAAATATCTCCTATGCCCATTTTCATCTCATCGTACAATAATTTTTGTATGGTCGTTTCGATACCACACTAACGTCTACTACTAAGGTGTACTCATTAGGGTGGTTCAAAATATCGATTTTGATACACCCCACTAAATCTATTCTACATCAGGTCCTGATCTTTCCCCCAAAATGTGTGTTCTTTAGATTACGATCACATACTACCTTTGATGTTTATATGAGCATAACTATGGGAAAACTGAACTATTTGTTAAGCATAATGACTTATGTGTAAACTTGCTATCTCTGATTTTTGGAAATATCCCTGCTTCATCTTTGCTCAAGACCAATTTTTGATTGTTTGTCAGAATAATAAACTATTCATTAATTAGGCAGATGATATTCCTCTTAGACCTGTGCGCCGATCAAAATATTTACGGCTGCGGCGTGATATGTTATTTTTTGCCGGCGGCGGCGGCGTGGAAGCGTCACGCCGTTTGCTTTCGGCGGTGGCGGCGTGGGTTGGCGTGAGCTTGTTTTTAATGATTTAGAAAAAAAAAAACTTTCCAAACCAATCGCACATGGACAAAAAATGTTACCTACATTTGAGTTCAGATAATTCAAAACTGCTAAAACGTAGGTCACTCATAGTTTGAGTAAATTTTCCGATACTTTCCCGGGAAAAACCAACGTATTTGCAAATTTGAGTAACTTGAACTCAAATATGAGTAATTTTTACTCAATTTTGAGTTGTTCTCATTGGCTATACATACAGAATTTGTTAAGAAAAGTATGGGGGATTTTTTTAAATTACCGTAAATTACCGAACAGATCGTTCGGGTAATCGTCGCTACTATTTATACCTAGTAACGCCATTAAAAACCGTTTTTATGTAGTGTGTTGAAGATATTATATCTGATTTGAATAGAGTTGCTAAATCTCGTTTAAGTATTAGCAAAAAACTGTTGGTTATAAGAATTCATCAAATAGGGAAAATGGATGTAATGTCGGCCTAAATACCCCTAATTTTGGCCCATACATAAATTTAGCAGTTGACTAAATTTTCAATAGCGACCAAAAATATCCATTAGTACCGTCCCAATGACGCGTTCATATAGATAACATTTATAAATAGCAGATTTTTAGCGATGGGCCCAATTTTAGATCCATATGCCAACATTAGAGTCATTTCCCCTAGTGTGTTAAAAATCGAACGCAAGTGTATTCACCATGTTTATTCTGCAGGAAGCCAAATTTACGTAAGTTCATAATTACTCAAAAAATTCAATTAATCACTTCCAAGACCTTTAACACTAAAACAAATTTTATAATTCCACCGGACTACTCATGGATAAAGTAGTATACTACAACGTTCAAGCATATTGCTGTAATCCCTTCGAAATAGATGACCACAAAGGAGTGAGGAAATCTTTGCGGTGTGTTACTCAGAACAATATGTTTGACTTACATTCGAAAGGTATGCAATGGGTAACGGATACAATGAAACTGTGTACAGCTTGTCGGCTAAAGCTGTCACACAGTAACGAGGATGAGGCTTTAGTGACCGCTCCTTCGGAGACAGTAGATACAGGTCAGCGCGTTTCGCCAATGTTCTCGCCAGTAACAACAAGAGACGCTCCTTCGTCGATAGGATACGGCCAACACGCTTCACCACTATTTTCACCAGCTTCAACGGTGGAAACTGCTTCTTCCATCGAATCTGTTCAGTTTTTTTTTAAACTTGGAAATAATAGGAGCAGGGTTGCTTCCACTCACTAGCTATAAAAAAAATGTTTTGATGAATTATTAAATCGAATTGGATCTTATAATGATATGTTGTACTTGCAAGGGGCTGTTAATTAACTACGTAGACAGTTTTTTGGGATTCTTGAACCCCCTCCTTCCTTCTGCGTAGACAATTGTCCATTTTGGGCACAATAAAGAAATGGTTTCTCGATGAGGTTACTGATGCAAACGAAGATTTCGAATATGTTTAGTTGAATTAAAAATCTACTTTTCAAATAGCGGACACAGTACACAAAAATTGCATCCTCAAATTGTTGCCAACAAGTTGGTCATTTACCAAAACACAATCACGTTTTAAAGAAGCCAATCGCCAAACTTAACCAAAAACAAATATAATAGGACTGCAGCGTTTATCAAAAGCAGGACGACCTTCATATAGTGCAGATGTGCATGGTAAGATAGTAAATTTTTATCTTAGAGATGACATCAGTCCGAGGGGGGCGACACATCTAAATCTCAATTCTAGATGCACATGAAATTGCACACTAGCGTATCAAACTTAAAAAATCCTCTTTAATTTCTCGCATCTACTTGCATCGCGCATCATCGTTTTGCAGGAAACCTTCAGAATCGTCATAAATCCTCTTTCTATCTACTCACCGTTCGCGCAGCTAACCACAGCAAAACAAAATCTTTCCTGCATCGTAGATAGAGTCACCCCCCTCGCATCAGTCGACCATTTCCTGGATTGAAAGACACAATTTCTATAAAGTTGTCAAACGGAGCTCGACAGAATTATCAAAAACTCCTTTTGCTGGCTCCGTTAAGTGAACTATATAAACAGTTTTCAGATTTATGTGATAGTGAACAGCAGGTTTCGTTTACCTTGTTTTGGAAAGTTCGACCAAAACAGTGTGTGTTTACTAAAGATTCATCGGTATTGAATGTTTGCGTTTGCACATAAAACAGCTTGTTGTAAAAATTGCAACACGGAAAAAGATTTGAAAAACTATTTGGTGAACGAACTAGTATGTGTAACAGTACAGACGATTGCTTGCGTGATGCGTGCACTGATTGATTTTGTTGGAGAATATTTGGACCGACAGAAAATTGATAAAATTAAATTAAATTTCTGGACAACCTCTCCTCGATGCGAAATAATACGCAAAGAAGATGATGTGAGCGAATTTTTAGAAAGCTAAGAAAATCAAATTGAAATATTCATTGTTCACCGATTTAATACCCCGTTCACATTACAGCCTATATCACATAATATAGCTGCCTTGGAATGAGCACTCATACATAGGATTTCCAGTGAATACTAGATGTATGAGTGCTCATTGCAAGACAGCGTATATCACCAGATATACGCTGTTACGTGAACCTCGTATAAAGTTGAAAAGCAAATTAAGTTTATAAGAATGAAAAAAGAAACTTTGGTTGCTGGGAAAGAAATAATGTGTCAAATGGATTTCGCTGAGAACTATTTTTGTTTGATCCAAGGTTCGATCCAATGTCATTATTTTTCAAGGCATTAAGTAAACCCAAGTAACATTGCAAGTTTTATCACGGTTTAAAGCATGGTACAAGTTTAATTCATAGTCTTCAGAACCCCCATAAAACCCTAATTGTTTCTTGGGAAATATTCACCCTTTTGTAGTTTACTACAATGAAGGTTGCTCTTTAAAAGTTGTAAATTTCATTACAATAGAAGATATGAAAAAACAACACAATATCGGTTTACACGTTTCAATGTAAATTAATTGAAAAACATATTTATCTCTCAGATGGTTGCGCAGAGAAGACGATAATTTCCACAGCTTTTCTTTTGGATTTTCTTCAATGGTGAAAACCTTCATGCGAAATGTGTTTCCAATTGTATTT